GCTGAAGTCTCATGACACATTCCAAGTGGATAGAGTTAGACTCACACTGAAAGATGAATATATACCTCCCCTGGGGTCTGTTTATAACTTACACCCTGTTTGATCACCATGATGCTACAAACCAGCTGGGAAAAAATAATAGTTTCTGGAGGAATTAGTAAATGTAATGGTGAATTACATCAAAAACAACGCGATTTCAACACGAGAGCCTGCAAAACTCTGCGGACTGCATATATATATATATATATATATATATATATATCCCTTGAAACCAATTTCTATATTGTTTAACAATATCTATTTGGTGATTTATTAATTTAGCTTGATTTATATGAGTGCAGGGTACAGTAAAGAGTGGATTTAGAAATGGTGTTTAAAGAGAAAACATATATTTTAAGGACAAATCTGCTGTTTTAGGAAAATCAGATACCAAAAAGAAAAATGAGACGCACAAAAGTAAAGAACTGCAGCGCACAAACCAGAACATCAGAGCTACATTTAGTAATATTTTAGCTATAAAACAAAACAACAGGCTTCTTTCACTGACCCCTAAAGCCCATCTCAGGAGTCTCCAATGAAAACAAAATGCAATATGAGACACCCTGCTTTCCTCAAGGTACACAGGTACACAAATGAACCCTGGCTAACCCTCTGTGTGCTCGAGTATCCACAGGGGTCAGGGTTCGAGACAGATGAGGAATTCTTTGGTTAAGTAATGTCTGACCTGGGAACCTCCACCCAATGGGACCAAGCATGTGAAGAGGTTTGCCACCAGCCCTTCCAGAGGGAAGCTCAGACTGTCGATGTATACGGTGTAGATCAGTCCCAAGCAGCCCTAGGAGGAAAAAAAAACATTCAGCTAGTCCCTGACACACAAACACATGTAAAACACTTCCTGACACAAAAAAAGAGTCAATGTGAGTGGTGCAAAAGTTGCTGCCACAATACTGGTGTTGTCCTAACAACTTGTTTCTATTGCTACAGTTGCAAAGTTATTCTTAATGGTTGATATGGTGTTGCTAGAATGTTCTGTGTGAATGCTGTGATGTTGCTATAGTGATTTTAAGGTTTTCTGAATGGTTTCTAGGGTGTTGCTAGTGCTCTGGGTGGTTGCAAGGGTGTTGCTATAATTTTCTGGGTGATTTTAAGATTTTCTGAGTGCTTTCTACGGTGCTTCTAGTGTTATGTGTGGTCGCTATGGTTTTGCTAGTGTTGTGGGTAGTTGCTAGGGTGTTTCTGAATGGTTTCTAGGGTGTTGCTAGTGTTGTGGGTGGTTACTAGGGTGTTACTATACTGTTCTGGGCGATTTTAAGGTTTTCTGAGTGGTTTCTAGGGTGTTGTTAGTGTTATGTGCGGTTGCTATGGTGTTGCTAGTGTTGTGGGTAGTTGCTAGGGTGTTATTATACTGTTCTGGATGATTTTGAGGTTTTCTGAGTGGTTTCTAGGGTGTTCCTAGTGTTATCTGTGGTTGCTATGGTGTTGGTAGAGTGTTGCTATACTGTTCTGGGAGATTTAGGGTTTTCTGAGTGCTTTCTTTGGTGTTGCTAGTGTTTTGGGCGGTTGCTAAGGTGTTGCTATAGTGTTCCGCATGGTTGCTAGGGTGTTGCTATAGTGTTCTAGGTGATTGTTAAGGTTTTCAGAGTGGTTGATTACAGACTCAAGTCAGTTGGTCTATATTCTGGTCTCTCCTACAATGAAAGTCTAAGGATTTTTTTTATTGTATGCTCAAATGAAAATCATAAGTCTGACAAGTCTTATCAGCAAGATGAACAATTTGAGGTATAATTCATGTTCATAGCACAAACAATTTAAATCCTTAACCTCAAGTAAGAGCATTAGTAATAATGATGACTTCCTTAGCAAACATCACTTAATGCTTTTATATTTGCTTTTAAATTGTTCTTTAGATCTCTCTCTCTCTCTCTCTCTCTCTCTCTATATATATATATATATATGAGAAGAAATGCATAACAGTGCCTTCTTATATGGGTACAATGAGAAACTAAGGGATATAAGTGTGTGACCATAAACATGTGGTCTTTTTACCAAACAATACCGATCAACTAACTTATTCCCAGGCTTAGCTCATGCCAAATACATGAATGTAGGCCAAAAGTAAAAAAAAAATAATAATAAAAAAAAATTTGAGACAGGTAGTCTGCATAAAACTTTGAATGAGTGGATTTCCTGCTTTTGAGCTCCTGTGCTATTCCTCTCAGTCTCTGTAATCCCTGTTTTTATTCCATCAGCAGACATAAATCTTTGACTTGAATGATTTAAAAGCTGACTATCAATATCGTTCTCAACCCAGTGATGGTTTTAATTATCCTAAATCCAGCTACAGCTCCAGCATGAAAATTCCTATTTATAAACGTATGATTCACATCAAAAATGCGAGTAAAATCTGATTTTGCCTAATAGCTAAAGTTACTGGTCACTTAGGAAATGGATGCTATTGAATTATATGTTAAAGAACAGCTCAGTCACTAGTTGGCTGCTCTCTTCTGTATCTTCTGTCTTTAACTCAATGGAAACCAGAAGTTTAGACATGAAGCTTTTTTTTTTTTAACTACACATTCCTGGCATCACTAAAATATATTAGGAACAAAATGTTTTTGTTTTGTTTTTTGAGAGGTGGTATTTCACAGAGAGACATCATAAAATGCAAAATGCAATGGACAAACAGATGGACAGATTTTTGTTTACCCTAAATATTTCTGGGTAATCCAGCCTGGAGACAAGAATCAAACTTTTGGGTGCAAAGATTTGAGCTGGCTGGATCAAACCATCCTCTTCCTCATCCACATCCTCAGCTACATCCCCATCTGCCTCCAGCGTCTTTGAGCCCTGAAACAGAAAAAAAAAAAAATCAAGAATAATTTTAAAAGTCTGGAATAAATAAAATTCCATGAGGCTGAGGTACTTTTCGAGTTGGTGGACAAGCACAGAGCAATCATATGAGATAAATCCTGGACGTGATTACGGAAGATTCAAACAAAGCCATGACAGAATCATTATGCCTTTCCAAGCAACATTGAGCAAAGTTTCGGTAATGAATCCAAGTTTTTGACCGAATTGAGTGAGCATTTCCTTTCATAAAGACAGTCACTGAATTCATCAGTAGTTTGAAAGAATCATTGAATGAATGACTCACTCACTAAGATTTAGTTGATGCATCTGAAATTGCATACTGTCTAAATATGTACTACATTTGAATTTGAACTAACTTTGTGAAGTAGTGAAGTATTCAATTTCGGACGCAGCAAATGACTTGCCACCACATACAGGTGGTTTTAGTTTCATATGTAGAGTATCATTTCATTCCAATTATTTCATATCATTTCAAAAAATCATTAAAAAACTTTAAAGGGGTCCTATTATGCTTTTTCACTTTTTCAACTTTAGTTAGTCTGTATTGTTGCTGTTTGG